AAATACTGGAGTCAACGCAACTATTCCATTCCCTACATTCTATACCTTGCCCCTTTCCTTTTTCTCCATTTTTACGATTTTGATGTGGGAGCTTCCAGACATTAAACAATGAGTACGTATATGTATATCTATATATGCTTATGCGCTTAGTCGCTCAGTCATGTCTGACTCTTTGCGACCCTGCAGATTGTAGCCCACCTGGCTCCTCTGTCCATGGGGATTCTCCAGCCAAGAATGCTGGAGTGAGTTGCCATGGCCTCCTCCAGGGGATCTTCCTAACCCAGGGATGGAACCCAGGTCTCCCACATTGCAGGAGAATTCTTTACCATCTGAGCCATCAGGGAATCCCAAAAGGGAATTCCCCTAACATGATAAAGGCCATATATGAAACCCACAGTGAATATCATAATAACGAAAGACTGAAAGTTTTTCCTTAAGGTGAGGAACAAGACAGGATGTCTACTTTTGCCACTTCTAGTCAGTGTGTACTAGAAGTTCTAGCTAGAATAATCAGGTCAGAAAGAAATAAAGGGCACCTAAATTGGAAAGGAAAAATAAAATTACCTCTGTTCACAGATGACACAACTAGGTGCCCTTTATTTCTTTTTCTGGCCTAATTATTCTGGCTAGAACTTCTAGTATTACACATCTACTTCTGCTTTATTGACTACACCAAAGCCTTTGACTGTAAGGATCACAATAAACTGTGGAAAATTCTTAAAGAGATGGGAATACCGGACCACCTTATCTGCCTCCTGAGAAATCTGTATGCAGGTGAAGAAGCAACAGTTAGAACCAGACATGGAACAACAGACTGGTTCCAAATTGGGAAAGGAGTACGTCAAGGTTGTATATTGTCACCCTGCTTATTTAACTAATACGCGGAGTACATCATGAGAAATGCCGGGCTGGATGAAGCACAAGCTAAAATCATGATTGCCAGGAGAAATATCAATAGTCTAATATATGCAGATGACACCACCCTTATGGCAGAAAGGGAAGAGGAGCTAAAGAGCCTCTTGATGAAAGTGAAAGAAGAGAGTGAAAAAGCTGGCTTAAAGCTCAACATTCAAAAAACTAAGATCATGGCATCTGGTTCCATCACTTCATGGCAAATAGATGTGGAAAAATGGAAACAGTGACTTTATTTTCTTGGGCTCCAAAATCACTGCAGATGATGACTACAGCCATGAAATTAAAAGATGCTTGCTCCTTGAAAGAAAAGCTATGACAAACCTAGACAGAATATTAAAATTCAGAGACATTACTTTGTCAACAAAGGTCTGTCTAGTCAAAGCTGTGGTTTTTCCAGTAGCCATATATGGATGTGAGTGTTGAACCACTGGTGCTTTTGAAATGTGGTGTTGGAGAAGACTCTTGAGAGTCCCTTCGGCTGCAAGGAGATCCAACCAATCACTCCTAAAGGAAACCAGTCCTGAATAGTCATTGGAAGGACTGATGATGCTGAAGCTGAAGCTCCAATACTTTGGCCACCAGATGCAGAGTCGACTCATTAGGAAAGACCCTGATTCTGGGAAAGATTGAAGGCAGGAGGAGATGGGGATGACAGAGGATGAGATGGTTGGATGGTATTACTGACTCGATGGACATGAGTTTGGGCAAGCTCCAGGAGTTGGTGATGGACAGGGAAGCCTGGCACGCTTCAGTCCATAAGGTCCGAAGAGTCAGACATGACTGAGCAACTGAGCTGAGATCACTTTCTGTTACTCTGCCTTATAGGGAAGCAGAAGTTCCTCAAGTATGTATTTTTGAAATCTTTCCCTGTTGATACAAAGAGAATTAGTTTACCCTTTCAATGCTTTATACTAATCTGTTGTGTGAGTATATCACATTTTATTTAGCTATTTCATTATCATTGGACTTTTGTGTTGTTTTCTGGGTTTTACTGCATATTACAAATAATACTGGACTTCCTTGGTAGCTCAGTGGTAAATAATCTGCCTGCAATGCAGGAGACTCGGATTCAATCCCTGTGTTGGGCGGATCCCCTGGAGAAGGAAATGGCACCCCACTCCAGTATTCTTGCCTGGAAAATCCCATGGACAGAGTAGCCTGGTGGGCTGCAATCCATGGGGTTGCCAAAGAGTTGGACATGACTACGGCTAAACAGCAACAACACAAATGATTCTGCCCTCTAGAACAAATATCCAGGAATGGAACTTCTGGTTTATAGGGTATGTTTACTCATAGATATAAAAGATCATATCATATTGTCTTTTCAGAGTGCATGTACCAGTGGATGTACTCATCTGTACAATATAGAAGTACCAGTTACCCACATAATTCTAAACATCATATTATCAGACATAAAATTTTAAGCAATGTGATAAGTAAAAAAGAGTAACTCATTATTATTTTAATTTTCTTGAATATTAGTGATAATGAGCATTTCTTCATCTGTTCATTGCTCCCATTTTACTTATTTTCTGAATTGCTATTTATATCCTTTGCTCACTTTTCTATTGGGTCATTTTCCTCTTATTATTAATTTTCAGGCATTTTAAAATAAATTTTGATACTGTATCTTTATCAATGTTGGTCACAAATATTTCTGCCAGTCTGTAGTTTGCTTGTAGATTTATTTATGGGGTTCTTTCTTGAACATTTATATTTATTAATGCCAATTGTGGTCAAACTTACTACTCTTTTCTTTATGATTTCTTTTTATGTAAAAAAGTTTCCCTTCTTCTGAGGTTGTGAAAACAAATTTGCATTTTTAGAAAAAATTCTTACTGCTTTATAGTTGAGACTTTAAGCCTTCTAGAATTTATATTTTGCAAATATAAGCTAAAGAGCTAGTCTTATAGTTTCCATCCAAAGAATTGATTATTCTAACTTTCTTTGCTAAGAGTCCAGCCTCGTGACATGTTCTCTGTGAGTTAGGCTCTATATGAGGTTCTCTATAGGCCTTTCCTTTTCTGCTTATCCCAGAAACCTTACAAGGAAGGTATCATGCCCATTTTTCAATGAAAAACTGAGGTTCAGAAAGGTTAAATAACTTGCCCAAGGTCACACATGGTGTGTGTGTGAGAGAGACCTGTTTAATTCTGCCATTGAACTCCAAGTGATGGAGTCAAAACTTTGAACCCTGAGCAGATACAGAAATAGTTGGAGATGGAAGTTCAATGATCCTGGCCCATTCAGTGGACCTGGGGGAAGCTTGAGGAACACAAATAATTAAATCAGGGTCTCTCAACCTTAATTCTATTGACCTTTGGAGTGGATAATTCTTTAGGTGGTTGTAAGGGGCCATCCTGTGCATGGTAGGATTTTAACAGCACCCCAGTTTTTATGGTTTTTATCCCTTACATAATATTAGTACCTTGCCATATCTCCTCCCCACCCCTGATTGCTGGCTGTGACACTGAAAACTGTCTCTAGGCACTGACAAATAGACAATAAATAGTAGTAGCATTAATATTAATTATTAACCCTCAGTAGCACCAATTGATATTAATTATCAACAGTGACCGATTGCAGATTTTATCCTTGGACTATTGCCTCTCTGTAGCTAGGGGACAGAGGCTCTGTTTTCCTTTTAAGCAACACCTGCTCAGTGCTCTGTCTCTGGCAAACTGCATCCTTACTCAGCCTGTCAACAGAGGGGCTCTGCTTCACTCTGCAAATGTGCAAGCTTGGTGTGATTGAGCCGTGCCCCAGGTCACGGCCAAGCACATGAAGACGCTTATACCAGGGCAGGAGTGTCCGGGGCTGGGGGTACTTCGTGCTTTCCTTTCAAAATATTTTTCTTTGTTGATGAGGAAAGCAAATGGAAAAACACAGCCCTGCTGATGTAAAATGATTCCTCAGTCCAGATGTGGCAGGGCTGAGGAGCTCCATCATTCATGATTCGCGTCAGCCTGTAAACATGGGTGTCACAGAGTCCCGCCTGACAAGCTCTGGGATTGCAGACCTGCACACAGGTAAGGGGGCCTGCGGGTACTGGCACCGTCAAGACCCTTGAAGATCTAACGCAATTTCCAGTCGCCCCAGTGCTGCGCAGGCTCCAGGGAAATTTAGAACACGGTTTCTAGCCTGGCCAACTGAGATCCCTCATTTTAAAGTCTGAAAATATAACAAAAATGACCGGGTAATGAATATTCAAATTAGTCTGAGCTGCTGTGTAGGTTCTCTTGTTTCTGCCCCTGATAGCACTGGTTTTGCCCCACTCAGGATGGCTTAGCTATGTGAATCTTCTTGCACACTTCCTGTTTTTCCCTGTTGCCATGTGGACTTTGAAAGAGACTTTGACAAGTAAAAGTAAAGTCCAGAGCCTGGATACCTTCAGACTTCACCTTGCCATCCAGACTGGTATCCTTGCTGGAAACAGAAACAAGGTTTTGCCCAAACTGTTATCTTCACGACCAGCCCATGGGGGTGCATGGGGACTTCGTGATTGTGCTTCCTTTTCTAAGTTTATTCCTATTTTCCAGACTCTCCTGACACCCTACCCACTTCTGCTGGGTCCCCCAGGCTCTGAACCCAACTTTCAGCCCTGTGGCTGAGACTGAGATCACAACCAAACTGGGCTCCCTGAGTGTGGACTCAGGCCTTCTTCTTTGCTGAGTCTCCTTCATTTGGGGGGAATCTTTCCAACGGTGGGGCCTCAGAGGGCTGGGCTCAGAGAAGAAAATTATAAAGAATATTGGCCTACTGGGGCAAGAGGTGTCCTGTGGCTGCCATTTGTCTGTGACCGTGGTAATGTTAGGACAGACGTGGGCAGACTTACAGACAAAGTCAACCCCTTCCTGCCGCGAATGCAGAGTTCCACCCGGAGGCTGCGGTGGAGTTGGGCACGGTGTTCTGTAATCTTGGTGAATATTCAGTGACTTCTGTCCCCTTCACTGGCTCCTGTCTATGCAAACAGCCACCTGGGAAGGAGAAACAGAGGGTGTGCTGGCAGCAGTGACAACAGGGGACAGTGGAAGGAACGCAGGGTCCCCGAGGCTGGCCCAGGGAGCCGTCGCCGAGTTCCCACCATGGACAGCAGGGTGTGGGGTGCCTGCGTCCTCTGCTTGCTGGGCCCCTTGCCGATCGTGAGTAGCCAGCTCAGACCCTCCTGCCCCTCCTGCCCACTGAGCTTGAGATCTGGGAGCCACTGGGCCATACTGGGGTCCACTGGGGTCCACTACCCTTCCCCGGCGCAGGAGTCTCTCTACTAAGCAGTCTGGTGGCCTGGCTTGGAGAACTCCTGACACCTGTGGTCCCCCCCTCTCCTCCCCCTCCCTTCCCAGGCAGCCTGCTCACCCCTGGGGAGCTCTGACAGTAAAGCGTCTTTCCTGGAGTTGAACTGAGTTCACCTGCCCATTGCATCCCCCAGGGCCCATCTGCACCCTTGGGGCCACAAGACTGTCCTAAAACAGTACCTCTGCCTCCCTGTCACACCCTGAGTCTTCTCCACACCTCCTCCTCCGACAAGCTTGCAGAGCCCTCCCAGTCCTCACATCCCTGGAGCCACTTGATTGAGTTGCTTCCTTTGAAGAGTGTGTGGCCAGGGATTGAGTGTGTCTGGGTAGTAAGTGAGAAGTTGCTCTCCTCTCCAGCATCTGGGAGCCTCTCCCTCACAGGCCACACCCTGGACCCTGAGCAGCTTTCCACAATCAGGTAGAGCCCGGAGGCCTAGAATGCTGGGGAGCTGGCTGCCAGGGGGGCCCTCTCTGAATGTATTGTGAGCTTTTCTGGAGTTAATGCAAGTGACAGTGACTTGGGGACCAGGATGGGAGACACAAGTCCCGGGTTGGAAGCTGTGGCTCCCAGGGTCTCCTGCGAGCCTGCGTGGACTGAGGCTGCCCTCTTTCTCCACTGGCTTGTGTGTGAGTGTCTGTGTGTTTGAGAGTGTGTGTGCGTGTGTATATGTGTGGTGGGGGCTGCACCTGCTCTTGTGCATGGCCTTTGGGCTTGGATACCGGTGCTGTGAATTCACCATGTGACCTAGGTCCCTTGCTGAGCTTCACTTGTCTCTTTTGTAAAAGAAGAAAATAACATCTGCCCCCCAGGGCTGTTGTGCCTGGAGAAGGACCTGACTTGTCAGAGGCTGGGCCTGCAGCGCGTCATGGGTGGCTTCCCCTGCCCTCCCTGCACTGCACAGAGTGGGGCTTCCTCCCTCTCATCTGTGTGCACCCCACAGGAAATGATAATTCTCGAAGGGGGACTGTGATCCTGTGGGGGTCACTTGGCAGCTGGTGCCAAGTCAGGGTTAGCACTAAACCCCAGTCTCCTGGTGTGGCCTCTGTCCTGCATAGAGCCCAGATCAGCTATAGCCATCGTCAGCCAGGCCAAGGTATGCAGGACGATAGTCTCCTGAGGAGGAGTGGGGTCCCGGACATGGGCCAGATGATCCCTGACCCCACAGTGAGTGGTGGATCCAACCGGAGCACTGGGATAAGTCTTGGGAGGGCCCACCTCTTCCCACCCCCAGCAGTTTCCACCCACACACCTGGGTCACGAGTTGAGCTTCCCTGAATTTTTCTTCCCTTGGGAAGTGTGGTGGCTGTCTGTCTCTCCTTTTGGTGGGAGGCTTCCCACCAGCGGCCCTAGTTCCTTTGGCCCCGGTGGTTCCACAGTCAGGCTCTGAGAAGGCATCTCAGGAAGGGATGGGATTGTGGATGTGGAGGGGGAGGAGGGCAGATGGAGCCCATGATCCCATATCAGGCCCCCCTCCTCCCCATCTACCCCCCTGCAGACAATCAGGCTGCTGTTGTGGACGTGTGGGGGAGGTAAGACTGGGGTTCTCCTCTGAGGTGGCCCTAGGCTCACTGAGTCCTGGGAAGAAGCCAAGAGGTGCTCCCAGATTGGAGATCCAGAGCCCGGGCTGCAGGTGGAATCTGCATCATGAGGTCCCAGGGCCCAGGTAGGAGGTGACAGAGCCGAGCCCAAGCTGGCTTTGGGGGACTGGGGTCAGCCAGTCAGGACAGGGGAGTCCTCCCCTGCAGGGGCGGGTCTGATGGGAGTGACCCTCCGTACTGGTCAGGGTCTCCAGGTCCTCTCCTAGCCCATTGGATCCCTTCCATGTGGTCACCTACTGTCAACTGTTCCCATTCTAGTGTTTGAAGTCTCTGACCCCAGCCACTGTCTCACACCCACTATGCTTTTGCCGTGCCTGGGTTTCTGTCAAAGGACACTAGGAGTTAATTAACCTCCTGCTGACATGGACTCTGTGCCAGACACTGGGGGCTTGTGTGTGTGCATGTGGATGTGAGGATGGCCACGGGTAGGGCTCTCCCCTCACGCAGCTCAGGTATATCTGCCCACTCTCTTGTCTGGGCATGTTCTAAAAATAATGCTCCTTTCTCTTCAAATGTTCAGCTCAAATGCCACCTCCTCAGTCCTTGTGAGAAGGGCCACCCTCCCGTAGTGACTACCCTGCCCCTGCTAAGTTTGTATTAGATGTAATAGGACCAGGTGTTAACTCCCTTCCTCACCACACTCTTCCCTGGGAAATCCTTGGGGGCAGAAATCTACACTGATTGAATTTGATGTGCAAGTCGGATTCGAGCGTGGGCTCTGGATCCACGTTCACAGTGTAGGGAGCATGTCTTGTAAAGCTGAGTTCTTTCACGTGTGTCTGTTTGGGACTGTGCCCTGTTGGATGGTCAGTTTTTCTCCAGTCTGGGGAAGTGGGAGGGAGAGGTGTTAAGAATTCCTGCCTTTGACTCCAGCTCCGTGGAGAACTTGTTAAAATGTGAAGTCCTAGATCCAACCATAGATCTCTGAGTATTCTTGGCTCCATTGCAGTTGATCTCTGGCTGGGTTATAGAGACACACTTTCAGAAATACTGCTAGAGGATTTCCAGAAAAGCAGCTTGTTTCCTAGCTTCCAGAGATCATTCCCTGTGAATGATCCACAGATCATTTCCCAGGATACCAGGCTCTGGGAAATTCCTAAAACTTAATTCTTTCTGATTGTTGGATTACATGTCAAGGCAGTTATCCCTCCATCTATTGTCCATTACCCATCCATCTCTATGTGCATCCCCTTATCCATCCACCTATCCACCATGCCTCCATGCATCCAGTCATCCATCTATCTATGTGTGCTAAGTTGCTTCAGTCAGACTCTTTGTGACCCAATGGGCTGTAGCCCACCAGGCTCCTCTGTCCATGGGATTCTCCAGGCAAGGGTATCAAAGTGGATTGCCATGCCCTCCTCCAGGGGATCTTCCTGATCCAGGGATCAAACCCATACCTCTAACAGCTCCTGCATTGGCAGGTGGGTTCTTTATCACTAGTGCCACCTGAGAAGTCCATCTATCTATATTTTGTATGTATATTCACTCATTCTACCAGCCAGTCACACAGTTACCCATTCATTTATTCATCCATGAAGACATATTCATTTGTTCCTTCACCTCATTCACGGGGAAAAAAAAGCCAGTACATGGCTGCATTTTTGAGGTGACCATCCCCATGTCATCTTCTGAAGACTTTTATTTAATGTGTCTCAGAACTGAATTCCATGAGTTGAAAAGGGGAAGCCTTTGTCCAAATCTCCATCTATTCTCCCTCCCTGCCTCCCTGCTTGCCTGCCTTTCATCCAAATAGCCATTAAGTTTCTTTGATCAGCCTGGTCCCTGTACCTAACTAAGAGCCCAGCCAGGGAAACGAATCAGGCTTTACCTCTGTCCTCAGGTCGTTTGACCAGCAAACCTAGATGAAGCACACACTTGGCTTGGCTCATGTCATTAATCCTTTCCTGCACAGGTCCTGGGCCACGTGCACCCAGAATGTGACGTCGTCACTCAGCTGAGAGAGGATGAGCAAGCATGTCTACAAGCTGCCGAAGGGATGCCCAACTTCACCTTGGGTACAGGGCTGGGGAGGGAGGAAGTGGCTTGTTGTGGGTTTCTCCATCTCCTCCAGCTGCACCGCTCAGGATGGTGGACAAGCCTGTCCCCTGGGCTGAGTCTCTCCTGCTCCCACCTCACTGTCCAGGCTGCCCCAGAATCTGGGACGGGCTGCTGTGCTGGCCGACGGCGGGCTCCGGCGAGTGGGTGAGCCTCCCCTGCCCAGCTTTCTTCTCTCACTTCAGCTCGGAGCCAGGTGAGGGGTGCTGGCTGTGGAGATGGGGGGAAGAGTGGAGGTGAGGTGGTTTCCTCAGGTGGTGGCCAAATGTGGTGGCCACGTCCTGGCTTTGGAGTCAGGCAGACCTGGATGGAGCACTGCCTTATCCTTGCCTGTCTTTCGCTGTGAACTTGGATGAGTCAGTTACCCTCCCTGAGCCTCAGCTTCCTGACCTCCTGTGACCTGGGGATAACAAGAGCGCTAGCTGCACAGAGGGTGCGCTTAGGCCCGGGAGTGCTGCACTTGGGGGCAGGCACTGAGTACTTGCTCTCTGGGTGTGAGCAGGAGGCGTGAGCAGGAGGCCTGGCCATGGGGGTGGAGAGGCAGAATCAGTCTCCCTGTAAAGTGCTACCAGTTGCTTGGTGGGGGAGAGCGGAAGGGCAGCCGTGCTCTGCCTCACCTCCCTGGCCTGGGTGTCCGGGGTGGACGGTCCCTCCGGTGGCAGAGAGGGCCTCCTTTCCTTAGGATGCTGGGGATCCAGTTCGCTACTCTGCCCCAAGGAAACCGTTCTCTCAATTAACAGAAGGTGAGTCTGAGGCCAGAAAGGAAGGTCCCAGAAGGTGTCCCAAGCAGGCAGGACACCAGACCTCTGGAGAACAGGCTCCCCTCTCTCTGCTGCAGAGATAGGCTGTCTGTGCAGACCCGACCAAGGTCACTCCCAGCTCCCCCACCTCCTGACCACCTCTCTGCTTCCCCGGCTCCGCTTGCCTCCTAGGGGCGGTGAAGAGGGACTGCACCATCGTAGGCTGGTCAGAGCCCTTCCCGCCTTATCCCGAGGCCTGCCCTGTGCCCCTGGAGCTGCTGACTGAGGAGGTGAGAGGCTCATCACAGATGTTTGTGTGGCCGGTAGACTGCACAATGGAAGGGGCTGCCACTTCCATTGAAGTTGGCGGGTCGGGATATGAATGATAGCACACTTCTGGAAGATGGCTGGAAGAGAGGGCGTGAGAATTAGAAGAGAGCAAGTGCTAACTTGCTCCAGAGTGACAGGTGGGCTAGGAGGAAGAGGGAGGCAGAAGGCAGGGTGGGCAATGTTACCTGGCCGGCGTCTCCTTGACACCCTCTCTGTGCCCAGGCTCCAGGACCGGGAGCTGGGGGTGGTTCCGGGAAACAAACCAGATTTCCCAGAACCAGCTGAGTGGTTCTGGGCAAGGACCGCTGTGAAAGCTCCCTGCCCTCTCTGGTCCTCAGTCTGTGGAGTGGTGTGCATGGCTGTGGGAGAGTGAGAGAAACCCAGTGATGGAAGTGATTCCTACCCCGGCAGCACACTCCATGCTTCCAAACTGAGCAGTGCTTTGGCAAGTTGCTTCCATTCCTATAACCCCATAGCTCTCTCCCTCCAGTCCTGAAGGCAGGGTATGAGTCTGACATTCTTTCAGATAAAAAGACTGAGTCAGGGAGGGGCAGTCAGGGGTGATTGCCTGCATCCCTCAGGGGAGCTGGGTCCCTGATCGATCCCCTCCCTGCAAGGATACACCTTCTGTCTCCATCTCCGGGGTCCAGGCTCAGTTGATTGATTCAAATACTTGGTTGTGGAAAGAGCTTAGCCTTGAAGCTGTCCCTGCTGTCCCCTTTATTTGAGGATGTCGTGTTCCCAAGCTAATGAGCAAGCTGGATGTCAATAAACAAGCCCGATCTACTCCTGAGCTTTCACACTCCCCAGGAATGCGCAGTTTCCGTGGCAGCTTCTTTCCCCCATCTCTAGCAGCAGCTAGAGTTAAGCATCTTGATCCTCATCCCCTCTCCCCCATCCCTGCTTCCCTCCCCGCTCCTGTTCCCTCACTAGCCTACAGTCTGTAAACAAACTCCAAAGGGAAAACTCCAAAGACAGCTTGCTGTGGTCCCCATAGACACCCCTGCCCCAACACCGACAGTTTGGGGGTAGAACTGAAAGCGTCACCTGCTTGATGGTCAAGCCTCCCTTTCCTCAGAGGCCCCACTGCTGAGATTCCCTCTGTCTCCACCCTCCCCAGAAATCCTACTTCTCCGTGGTGAGGATCGTCTACACCATGGGCCACAGCATCTCGGCCGTGGCCCTCCTAGTGGCCATCATCATCCTGGTTGCTTTCAGGTTTGCCATCCTCATTCCCTGCTCCAGAACCTTCCCTGCCTCCCCGTCATCTGCAGCACCAAACCTGATCCTCCACCTGGATATTAAAGACATTCCCAGGGCTGCACTGTGGCCATTTCTAACTTCTCCTTTCGCTTTTCCCATGAGTGGACCCATCTCTTTACACCCTAGGATTGCTCCCACCTCTACGTCTTTGCTCTGGGGAACTTATTCAGTTTCCTTTGAATGCCTGCCTCCATTTCCCCTCAAACCTGTTAATATTCAAAGCTCAGTTCTCATATGACTTAAAGAATTCTCTTTGTCTCTTCTGAGAAGCTGTGAAGCCCTCCTTGACTATTTCAAGCCTTTAACTTTTGCCCTCCTAAAACCCTCTCCAGCCTGGCCTGAGCTGTTGTCTCCTGGGAATGAGCCTCGTCTCTCTGACGGGGATCCCCTGTCATTTCTGCCTCTGTCCTCCACATAATGAGCTCCCTGAAGGCAGGGAACTGCTGTTTTCTGTTCCTTCACCTGCACCAAGCCTGGCTGTCCTGCAAGGTTAAAGCTGAAGCCTCACATTCAATGGATCCAATCTGATAATAGCCAATCCAAGCCCATGTGATTCACCTCCCTCCTTGCTCAGCCTCCCCAAGCCTGCTCTCCCTCCTAGCTCCTGTTTTCCTCACCCCTCCCACTCCCTCCAGGAGGCTCCACTGCCCCAGGAACTACATCCACACCCAGCTGTTCATCACCTTTATCCTCAAGGCGGGAGCTGTGTTCCTGAAAGACGCCACCCTCTTTCACCACGAGAACATGGACCACTGCAGCCTCTCCACTGTAACAGCCATGGGTGGGGGTGCTGGTGCGGGTGAGGAGGTTAGATTAGAGATGTCAGCCTGTCCAGTCCTGTGGGCTGACCCTGGGGCTCTGGCTTTGCCAAGGACAGAGTGGGAAAGTAGCCCTCCCCCTTCCCGCCTCTCCTTGTGGTCAAGTCCTAAATCCTCCTGTGCCCAGCCCTATCGTTCCCTTACTCCACTCTCTGCTCCATATTCTGTATTCTCGCTTCATTCCCCATCCCATAGCCCAACCCGTGCTTTCCATCTCATACTTCCTCTTGGCTCTGTCTGTGCTGGGTGTGGGTGTATCAGGGGCTGGACAAAGCCAGGTCCCTTCTTCAAGAAGCACCCAGGATGTCTAAGGGGATAGAGTGTACCAGATTACAGGACCACCAGTAGAGGGAGCTGAAAGCTGGGAAAGAACAGGAGGGGGCTTCAGGGAGGAGGTGGCTTTGGAGCTCTGGGGAGGGGGGAACGGGCAGCAATGATAGGGAGGGAGGGGGGAGGACCAGGGTGAAGCAGCTTTCACAGACGGAAGAAGCTGGGGCTGTTCCAAGAGACAGAGAGGTCATTATGGGGGTGGGAGACAAATGAGAGGAGACCAAAAATAAGTTGTGTTGAGGGCAGCTCTAGGTATTCTGACACTGTACCGGAAATGAATAGATACATGAATGAACAAACCAACAGATGACCTTCATTCCTTAACGTAAGAAACAATAATAGTATATATAATTAGTGCTTAGGTACAAGGCATTATGCTAAATGCTTTACATGTATTGTCTCATTTTCTTTCCTATGTATATTTTCATTTTAGTTCCATTTGTAGATGAGGGATAATTGGGAGGTCACGCAGCTGCTGAGTGGTGGGAATGGGGCCAAGTGCTCTGCCACCCAACAGATGAGCAGAGTCACTCAGTGAATGAATGAATGCAAGGGTGCATGCGTGTGTCTTTGCAGGATGGAGCTCTGCAAGAGTAAATGGTGTTCTATAGCCTCAGCTGTAGGGATAGACTTGAGTTCAGGAGAGATGGTGAGATAGTATCAGTAAAAATAGTAGCAATTTGTATACAGGGTTTCCATTTAATCCTTATGATGAGACCATGAGCTAGGGGCTGGAAGTTTTTCATTTTATACCTGAAAAGTTAAGGTGTGGGTGGGTTACCCAGATGATAAACTTGAAGCCAGGCTCTCTGGATCCCAAATCTGTGTTTTTCACCACCACATTATACTACCACATCCCCTCGGCGGTAGCCCAAAGTGGAAGAGACCTGGGGCTGGGGGAGACTTGGTGGGGCTCCAGTGGGTGTCCTGGCTCTGAGGTACCCAGGCCCCTGGCCCACAGGTTCTGTGCAAGATTTCTGTGACCACCTCCCATTTCGCTACCATGACCAACTTCAGCTGGCTGCTGGCAGAAGCTGTGTACCTGACCTGCCTCTTAGCCTCCACATTGCCCAGCACGAGGAGGGTCTTCTGGCGGCTGGTTTTCGCTGCCTGGGGTGAGCACGGAGGGCTGGTGGGCACCATGGTGGGGGGATGGAGTGGGTGGAGGATTGGGGATGACCAGGGAGCTCACACAAAGGTCCTTTCAGCTCACTCATGATGACTCCAAGGCCAGAAAGGGGGAGGACGGCTGCAGTCGTCTAGCGAGTGTTGAGATCAGGACCAGGTCCCCTGCCCCGGGCTTCACATGGTCTTGCTGTCACAGTGCCCTGTGTGACTGGTGGTGGTGGTGGGAGGTGGGCACAGGATGCAGACCCTTGCTCATGTCCTTTCTGTACCCCCACAGGGCTTCCTCTACTCTTCACCGGCATGTGGGTGGGTTGCAAGTTGGCCTTTGAAGATGTTGCGTGAGTTTGGGCTATCCCTTCATCACACCTGTACCGGGTCCCGATGGGGTGTGGATTGGATGCTCGGGCGATGAGGCTGTCCTCCAAACTGGGATGAGAAGGAGGGGGTCCCTGGTCCTGACTTCAGGAACTCCCAGGGCTGGGTGGGGGGTGGGAGACACAGTCCATGGATAACACAGAAGAGGCTTGAGCCTGGGCAGGAAGGGGGCACAGGGTCTCAGGTTTCGGGATCTCAGGGGATAGGGGCTGTAAGAAGGGACCTTCCAGAACAGGGGAAGTGTTGGGGCCACAAGAAAGCAGCAAACACAACTGATTTTTGAAAACTCATCCACCTTGGTGAAGGGAAAGGGTGAGCCCCCCTTGAATTAGGGTGTCCCTTTGGAAAGGGCCTAAATGTCTCGAGGAGATGAGGCTGGTTGGGAGTAAGGTGAGGCTATAAGGATCGAATTCTAGAGGGAGGAGCCTAGAGCTGTAGGTAGAGGGAGGACAGGAAAGAGGAGCAGGGGCACCTCAGAAAAGGGCTTCCCAGCAACGGCGCTCTGTCCTGTCCCCCGCCACCCCGCCATCAGGCCAGGCCTGCCCTCTCTTCAGGTGCTGGGACCTGGACGACAGCTCCCCCTACTGGTGGATCATCAAAGGACCCATCGTCCTCTCTGTTGGGGTCAGTGCCTGAGGCGTGTCCTCTGCATTATTCAGCCAATCTCCCTGGGCCCACCGAGCAGCCATACACAGTAGGAAACACGACTCCAGGCTGGGAGCCAGGACACCCTGGGTTCGAGCCTGGCTCCACCCACAGGTGCTCTGTGAGGCCCTCTCTGGACCTCAAGAGGGAAAGTCGCTCAGTCGTGTCCGACTCTTTGTGACCCCATTGACTATACAGTCCATTGAATTCTCCAGGCCAGAATACTGGAGTAGGTAGCCTTTCCCTTCTCCAGGGGATCTTCCCAACCCAGGGATCGAATCCAGGTCTCCCACATTGCAGGAGGATTCTTTACCAGCTGAGCCACAAGGGAAGCCCATGGATAGCCCATTGGAAAAACCAGACCTCAGGCTTCTTCTAACTCAGAATTTTGATGAGTCTGGTAGCCTGGTTGCAGATCACCTACCATTGCAGTGAGGCCTGGCTGGGGGCATAGAAGGAGCAGCAGCTGAAACCCCTACCTTGCCCACGCTCAAGGCAAGGCAGCCAGGGCTGGTTTGTGTGGCCTGGGTGAATGCACATATCTTTGTCGATTTTGTAATTGTGCAAAGTGAAGGCTACATGCTTTTTTAGACGAACCTGAGAGGTGCTGGAAGCAGGATGAAAGGTATGGCCTCCTACTTTTGGCCTGGGACTGGAGGAGGGGGACCCTGAGCCCAGGATCCACTGAGCACCACGTTGGACCTCCCAGTCTCCAGGTGACAAGGTCTCGAGCAATGACCTGCACATCCTGGCCCTCCAAAGACCCGAGGTTTCTAGTCCCCAAAGAGGTTCTACCTCAAGCCATTTGGGTCACTCCTGCCACTTGCCTTCCATCTTCCTGCACCTCCATTTCCAGGTGAACTTTGGGCTTTTTCTCAATATTATCCGTATCCTGCTGAGGAAACTGGAGCCAACTCAGGGCAGCCTCCACACCCAGCCTCAGTACTGGTAACATGTGTGTGTGTGTGTGTGTGTGTGTGTATGTGTTTCAGGAAATTCTGGGGACGTAACTGGTGCAGGAGTCAGATGGTTCTTTTTTATTCGTGATTAGGCATCCATCATCTTGGTCCCGTGCTTCTCCCCAGGTTCCCAGAGAGAGAATAGATCTGGTCCCTGTCCTCCAGTGAAACAATATAGGAAGGATGGGGGTCCCAAACAGCCAGTTAGCAACCCACATTGTGGGTGATGAGTGTGGAGATCGATTTCTACGGGAGCCTGCGGAAGGAGATCCTTTCTAAATGGATCATGGGGTTGGAGTACAGTCTGGGAGGACTTTCTGGAAGAGGTGTCTTTGAATTAGACTTTGAAAGATACATAGACTTGACTGGGATAAACTGAGACCAGAGCATTTGAGAGAGAGAACAGCAGAGTCCAGGCCTTGTTTTCTTCTGCAGGCGTCTCTCTAAGTCAACGCTTCTCCTCATTCCACTGTTTGGAATTCACTATATCATTTTCAACTTCCTGCCTGACAGTGCTGGCCTGGACATCCGCCTCCCCCTAGAACTGGGACTGGGCTCTTTCCAGGTGAGGGTCCCCATGGCACTCTCTCCTTCCCTCTGAGTCTTTGGGTAGGAGGCGGGTGCTGCTGTCCACAGGGTTGGTTGATTTCATGGCAGGTGAGGGTGACTAGACCAGTTATTCTTCCTTCCAGATACTCATTCATCTATTCAACTGCCCATCTGTTTGTTATTTTATATCCATCTATCTCTTTATTCATTCAGCTATCCCTGTATCTATCTACCCATCCACCCATCCATCCATCCATCCAATCTATTCAACATTTTGTTGTTGTTTAGTTGCTCAGTCATGTCCGACTCTTTGCGACCCCATGGACTGCAGCACGCCAGGCCTCCCTGTCCATCACCAACTCCTGGAGCTTGCTCAAACTCATGACAATTAAGTTGGTGATGCCATCTAACCATCTCATAAATTCATCATTTACTGAGCACCTATTATGTGCCAGGCCCTGTGCTCAATACTGGGGGATGCAGAAATAAATAAAATCAGAGAAATGGGCCAACAGGCCAATGACAAAGCTTTTGTATGCTTGCTACGGCAATTGCATATGACCATATGCCTGGCATATGGTAATGTGATGAATATGTCTACTTTGCATTTTTCCAAAGACCTGGCCCAAGTCACAGCCTGTTGAGGGTGGGGGAAAGTGTAGTAGGAAGACTACAGACACCTGAGGCCAGGCCAAGGTGATGGGGTCCTTTCTCTTTGACTCCACAGGGCTTCATTGTTGCTATCCTGTACTGCTTCCTCAACCAAGAGGTATGTGACTCAGACTATCCTTATTCTCTAAGCCTTTCCTCCCACCACTCCTAAGGCTGCCTCTCTCCTGTCCAGCCCCTGTAAATCCCACCTCAGGCCATAACTTGAGTCCTGCAATCCTTTGTGGAAATCTGTCCTGAGTTTCTGGATCAAGCTTAACCTGAATGCTTCCTGTGGACATCTTTTATCCATCCTTCCTCTGGTCTTGGCCAAGCTTACTATCCATTCATCATGAGGTAGAAAAGGCCTCTCAGGGATTAGAAGAGGAACGTAGGGGCTGGGGGGCTAAAAGGGTCCCTCAATTCTGTATTTCTGAAATTGAACATTAGAGAGAGTTGGGGGAAGGAATAAGTCAGATCCGAGAGAGGCAGAGAGAAGATGCAGAGGAAACAATGAAGTCTAAGGTAGACATACAAAGCCCAGGAAAATAGATCCAGGTGAAAGACAGGGAAGATGATGGAGAGCAGGGGCAGGGGTCCTGAGAGAGAGAGCACCTGGAAGAGAGACATGCAAGAAGAACAGACCAAACAGAGGTGAACAAGCACATGAACAGACAGAGTGTCCTTGTCCTTGCGTCAGTTGCTCAGTCATGTCTGACTCTTTCCCTTGAGGCTCCTCTGTCCATGGGATTTTCTAGGCAAGAATACTGGAATGTGTTGCCATTCCCTTCTCCAGGGGATCTTCCCAACACAGGGATCAAACCCAAGTCTCCTGAATTGCAGGCAGATTCTTTTTTTGGGGGGCGGGGCACTTAATTATTATTACTTTTTAAAATGTAAGGATAACTGCTTTACAGAATTTTGCTTTTTTTCTGCCAGACATCAGCAAGAATCAGCCATAGGTACACCCATCAGGCCACCCTCCTGAACTTCCCTCCCGTCTCCCTCCCCATCCCACCCTTCTAGATTGTCACAGAGCCCCTGTTTGAGTTCCCTGAGTCATATAGCAAATTCCCCTTGGCTGCCTATTTTACATACGGTATTGTAAGTTTCCTGGTACTCTCTCCAGGCAGGCAGATTCTTCACTGTCTGAGCCACCAGCAAAGTCCCTATAGACAGAATAGATGGTGCCAGTGCACTGTAGAATTATGGAGAGATGGCAGAGAAGAGTAAATTATAACATCCAACCCAGAGGACACTTCGTATTTTTCGCTTCGGACAGACTTGCTATGCGGGCAGTAGTGAGAGAACTTCTCTGTCCCAGACTACCAGCTCCTTCGGCCGGCTCACGGGCTCCCTCTAGTGGCCATGGATTTATGGTGGGCTTGGACACTGAACTGAACGGTTCTGCTGGAAACCTGGGTACACAGACCTGTCTGCCAGCTGTGGAGTATTGCTACCCCTTACCTGACACTTCTGTCGATTATCGGCTCCCCCTCCTCTGACATTCTTTGTTCCCACTAGCCTTTCTGAGTCTCCTGCAGACTTATCTGGGATCTGGGAGCAAACACAGGTCTTCTGAACCTGCCTGTAATGGCTCATGGGCCCTGGGCTATTTGGAAAGGACAGAATACTTACTTTTTTGGCCAGAAACTCAAGAAAACACCCATAATTGTCTTTAAGTGGGTCAAGACAAAAGCAGTACTAGAAGACAGAGAAGGAGCCAAAGGGAATGGTCAGAAATAGTTGCAGGAAGGAGGAAGTAGTATCCTCTAGAGATAGTACTTAGCTGTGGCTGTGGCCAACCATAGCTTCTCCTGCTGCAGGAAACCCCTGTGTCAGTTTCTCCTGCATGGCCTCCCCGGGCACCCTCAACCCCACTGGGGCTGAATAAAGAAGTGGCAGTGGGACCTTCCTAACATCCTCCCTCTTGTTCTTGGAGGTGAGGACTGAGATCTCACGGAGATGGCACGGCCACGATCCTGAACTTCTGCCAGCCCGGAGGACTCATATCAAGTGGACGACACCTCCACACTCGAGGGTGAAGGTGCTGACATCTGTGTGTCAGGCTGGTCACAGCGTGTGACTGGAGCCCACACCTGAACTTGGGCAGCTACATGGGTCTACCACCCTCCACAGCGTCCCATGGGAGCCCTCATGCTTCCACCCAGCACTCCTTCTGTCTTGTTCCTGACTCTTTTTCCCGGGTCCTTGTGTGTCCGTTGCTGTTCTTCTCATGTCCCTGCTCCTAGAATCTGGGCCATAGCCCAAGGCCAGAGGAGCCAGTAAACTTGTAAATGAATAGATACACATTAGAGTGAACCCATATACCTCTGCGGGGGAGGGATCTGTAAGCTTTGTTTGGACCCTGGTGCTTGTGTGCATTTATCGCATCTCAGTTCTTGTCATATCACCATCACGTGTCTGTGCAGGGATCCTCTTGTTTAATTCATTAAAAACACATATATTCTCTTTTGTCTCTACTTCCACTCCCCTCTTCTACAGGCAAACATTCCAATGTGTTAAATGCGAATGCTTGTTTCTGTGTTCTTGCAAAACACGTAGTGTTGTGTGTCTGTAGTTTTAATTTACATAAATGCTGTCGGTTATATGCCTCATCCTGCTTCTAATGCTTTTCCTCTCAGCACAGTACTTTTAAGAGAGCCACCCATCTTGCCATGCGCCCATCTGGTGGCTTGTTCTGACTGCCTTATGGTGCCACATGGTATCACCAGCCACGTGTGACCATCCGTCTCCCCCTGCCTCTAGGTGACTGTTCACGTGCCCTCACATCCCTGGGCCGGGGAGCCTTTCACCGGGACACACTCCGGGGAGTGAAAGCTGTGCCAGGCCGGCCGATGTGCCTTTTCTTAACGTGAAAGAGTGGTTCCAGATTGCGCTCCAGAACTGCCAGCGAGATCTCCACTCCCACCAGCAGCTCCACCAACACTTGGCATTACCCAGCTTTTCAATGTTTGCAAGTCAAATGGGTGTACGGTGACATCTCCTTGTTTAAATTTACATTCCTCTGATAACTAATGAGCGAGCATCTCTTCTCTTCTCATGCCTGTTAGCCTTTTAGGTTTGTCCTTCTGGAAAATGCTCAGATCTCTCTCTTTACTTTTCTCCAGGGTGGAGTTTCCTCAGGTCTAGGTTTTTCTCTTATGTCTTCTCCGTTGCCTGCCCTCCTGTGTTCCCAGCCTGCTTCTTCCTCCCACGTCCTCTGCCCAAGTGCTGCCCCCGAAGCAATGCAGCATGCTTTCCTTCCTTTAGTCTCAAATCAGAAAAGTCGTTCATCCTATTTGCAGGGCATTTGGGAGATATACAAGGGATTTTAAAAGAAAATAAAAATCAGCCACTGGGCACTTCCCTGGTGGTCCAGTGGTTAACACTTTGCCTTCCAATGCGGGGGTACAGATTCCATTCTTGGTTGGGGAGCTAAGATCCTAAATCCAAAACGTGAAACAGAACAGTATTATAACAAATTCAGTAAAGACCTTAAAAAATGGTCCATATAAAAAAAGTCATTAAATTAAGAAATCAGTCATAATCTCATTACCCAAAGACAATAACCACTGATATTTTTGTATGTTTCCTAAAAGATTTTTCTCCTCTGCTTCTTGAAACATCTCGAGATCATGATATGTTCATAGATTTGTGTTATTTCTTATATTTAAAATGAACATAAATGATATATAAAAATGGACAATAAGCACATGAAAAGATGCTCAATGTCATCAGTCATTGGGAAGATGCAAATCAAAACCACCCAGTAGAGTGGCTAAAATGAAAAAAAAGACAGTAACAAGTATTCACAAGGATGTGAAGAGATTGAAACTCTCATGCTTTGCTGGTGGAAATATAAAGTGGTATGATTGCTTTGGCAAAAAGTCTGGCTGTTCCTGGAAAAGTCCAACATTTATTTACCATGTGACTTGGCATATAGGCAAAAGAATGAAAAACTCATGACTGTACCAAACTTATGCATGAATATCCATAGAAATCCTAGTCATAACTACCAAAAGATGGAAACCCAACTGTCCATCAATTATTAAATGGATAAATAAAAGGTGATATATCCATACAATGAATAACAAAAAGGAATGAAATATGGACACATTATTCAACATGGATGACCCCTAAAAATATTGTGCTAAGTGAAATGACTTAGATATGAGAAATTATTTATTATATGGTTTCATTTATATGAAATACTCAGAATAGGCAAATCTATAGAGACAGAAAACAAATTAGACATTTTCAGGGTTGGGAGGATGGAAACTGATTACTAATGGGTACCTGGTTTCTTTTAGGGGGGATGAAATGTTCTAAAATTAGATAGTGGTAATGGTTGCACACTCTGTGAATATACTCAAGACCATTGAATTATATACTTTAAAAGGGTAAAATTTTTGACACGTGAGCTATATATCAATAAAATTGTTATTCAAAAAGTAAACAAATATTTGCTGCAGATCACTTGCAGACCTATATTCTGCTTCATAGTTTGTAAAGCCTATCTAATAGTCTTTTAAAAGCTTCAATATTTCCAGTTTTATTTCCTGTGTCTAATATTCTTTATTTAACCAATAATTATTTTACAAATATTCTATTGGTGAATTTTGCTTCTAATTTCTTAATAGTTGTGATGACAAACTTCTTTGCATGTAATTCTTCATGTACAACTCAAAAAAAAAAAACATTGGTGTAAACACATAAACAGAATTTTTTAGCCAATACAATGCAAGTGATAAGTATTTTAAATCTTATTGGCAAACTGCCTCCCAGGAAAGTTGACTCAGTGTATTCTTGCACAAGCAGTGTGAATGTGATGGTCTCTCTGCTTCATTATTGCTATTAAAAGTATCTTCATCAGCTTAATAGTTAAACAGTGGTTTCCTGAAGTTTTAACTGGAATTAAGTAGAGGTTAGCAGCTGGAAACAGAGGTTAGCAGTTGGAAACAGTGGTTGAAGCAGAAACTCACTTTGTGAATGATCTAGTCCTTCCTTAGAGGCTCCATTTATGGCCCAAAGCCTACTTCTTGCTTCCTTCCAGTTTCTACTGGAGCATCAAATTCCCACCACTTCGTTAGCCTCTTCCTTTACAAGAATCCCTGGATTGGGGCTTTATCACGGGTTCCTATGTATGTCCTTTGATTGGCAAACCCCTCCCTTCTTGGGGCCTCAGCATCCCCATCAGTATGGGGAAAGACGTCTGTCAGTAAGTGACCTCTGAGTTCTCTACAAAAGAGAAATTGAATTACAGGCAGGTGAATTGAGGCGAGCAATGCTTAACTTGGCCACCAGATGGCAGGACAATTGCAGCGAAGAACCGTGGATGGGCTGACAGAACTTCTTGGATGAGGCCCCAACACAGACTGGCCTGGGCATAGTGAGCCCGCAGGGCTGATGGAAAAAGGGGCTCCTGATCTGGTCAGCATAGGGGGGCAGGAGGCTCCTGGAGGAGGGAGGGAATGGGATGCCCCCAAGCCCTTCTGACCTCAGTCTTGAGAAGTAAGAAGCTGATGAGAAGAATAAGAGCTGAAGAGACAGGAGTGCTCACCGGAGTCTTCCTACAGGATTCACAGCAGATTGGGGGAGGGGTTCCCTGGACCACTGGTTCTGTGCAGGTAGAGTAGGGTTTCCCACCATCCACCGCAGCATTTTCCTTCTGGCCACACTCTCCGCAGGTCCACAGGTCTCCGCATTCTCTAAAGGAAAGGAAGAAACTCTACTTCCCTCCTGCTGTGTCCAGCCTGTGCTCCTCTCCATTGTGGGGAGAAGGAGTGATGGTAAAAATGAGGGGCTCGTTCCCTGTCCCTAGGGAGTCCGCGGGAGTGTTGAAGTTATCCCCAAGGATGAAACGATGTAAGAAAAAGTGTGCGGGGCTCAAATTCTCTGGGCTGTGGGAACTCAGAGAACAGGGTGTTGGTGAGGGCAGGAGCAGTCAAGGAAGGCTTCCTGGAGGAGGGGACTCAGGTTGGTTGTATAAACTCTACAATTCCACAAGGCCAAGCACCACCATCTGCTGGGCAGGAAGGAAGAATGTGGCTGATCTCAAGTTGGGTAGTAATGTTTGGAGGAAGGGTCTGCAGGACAAGATGGTGGGCATCAGACAGAGACTTTGTTCTCCCCAGGAATATTCATGGGCATTCCTGTTAGAGTGCTGGGTTCCGCAGGGCCACCCATTTGCTCAGTACACGCTTAGGTGGCAGAGAGCTTGTAGAGCCTAGAAACACAGCTGCAAACAGCTCCAGAACAACCCTACTCAAAGGGCTTAGGGTCTGGCTAGGGAGGATATGGGTGAGAAGATAGAACTTCTTGGGTTGGGTTAAGTAGAAACATGATGTAGTCAATGATGTTAGGGAGAAGAGTCAGAGGCAGTGCCCATGCCCCACCAGGGGACCACTGTGGCTGCAGACACAGCTGCTCATACTGGGAATGAAATGCCAGCTACTCAACACGCTGTCCTGAAAAGTCGAACTCCTCCACTGGCGTGCTTACCAAAAGCTCGATTGCACCTGGCTTCCTCTTGGTGTTCTCTTCCCAACCCAAGTCACATAGAGCTACTTCTGATGGCACGGCCTTGGCCTTGATGCTGTCTGCTAGTGGCAGGGGGTGTTGGAGAGCCCCTGCTGACTTCTACCCAGAGAGAGTCTGCACACTGTTACAAGTTCCTCAGACATAAGACTGACATTCAGAATAAGCTGGCTATGGACATGACAGAATCCAATACTGGGAGGCAGTCATGCAGCTCAAACAATTGCATGATAATGGTGTACATAGGAGAAACAGAGTACCAAAAGAAGAAACATCTGGAAGACCAAATCTAGCCTGGGGGAGTTCTTTAAAAAGAGGCTTTCTGCTCTGTAACAACCTAGAGGGGTGAGCTGGGGAGGGGGGTAGGAGGGAGGTTCAAGAGGGCGGGGACATATGGATACCTATTGCTGATGTCCATAGGACATATGTATACTTATGTTGATGTTTGGCAGAAACCAGCACAATAATGTAAAGTAATTATCCTTCAATTAAAAATAAATACATTTAAAAATATGTAAAAAATAAAAAGGCTTTTTGGAGAAAGTGCCATGTAAGCTTAGACCACGAGTATAAATTGGCTGGATAAGAAAGTGGATGAAAATCCCAGATAGTGGAAATAGCATGTGCAAAGGCCCTGAGGTGGAAAGGAGCTTATCATTTGGCAGGAACTGAAAGTTGCTACTGTGGTTACTGGAGTGAGAAAAGCCTGAGATGAGGAAGTTTGGGCAGCACCCAGCTCACACAGGGTCAGGGAAATCACATTGAAGAGGTTTTATCTCAAGAGCTATTGGAAATGTGTGATGTAATGAAACTTCCAATTCTGCAATAATCTCTCTGACTGGTTTGGATAGGAAGACTGAATTTCTGGTGGAGACCTCAGCTGGAAGCAGGGAGGGTGAAAAGGAAGGCTTGGTTCAGGGGATGGTAGTAGGAAAGATTAGGTCAGAGTAAAGATGTCTAACTGGGTGATGAGTTAATATGTGAGGTGAAGGGAAGGGCGATTTCCAGGAAGGTTCTTCTGAAACAGGTTGCAGTGGAGAAGAGCACATTTTGGGGGAAGACCACGTCTTAAGAGCGTGAGCGTGACCGATGTTGGGTGCATGGGAGACAGTTGGATGCCAGGGGGCAGGCTGGAGCTGAGAAGACAGGCCTGGCTCTGGAGTGGAGTTCCTGAACTGTGGGAATATCGGTGGTGGTGTTTGACTCCCGAAGGGTGAGAGTGAGGAGTGGAGACAGAGCCCCTGAACATCCCATGGAGGAGGAGGAGGAAACTCCAGAGCAGGCTGGAGGGAGCACCA